TGTAACACCTATGTCTGACCACACATAATGAAAGTCTTGCATACACAGGTTTTCTAGAATTAGTCAAGTTGGCCAATTTTGTAACAAACTTTTGCTTTCTATATTATATATGTAGTATCTGACAGTTAGCAGCTAATCATTTGAAGATATCTTCAAAGTGAGAGACAGTTAATGGAGTAGTTGAAAGATGATAGAAGAAATAGAAGGAGTAGCTCTTCTTTTCACCAAATCAACAAGAAAAACAGTCACAAAATGAATCATAATTAGTAATGGCAGGAAAAAGAAAATTAAAAGAGTCTATTTCCACATGGTACTTATTTGAAAAAATAACTGAAGATCAACTCACCATCCCACTCTTCTTGACATCACCTTTCCAGTGCCTTACTCCAAAAGACGATAGTGTAATTGATAAAGTAGGTCCCACAGTCAACAGTTTTAGATAATAACATTTTTTTTGTAGTTATATTCTTGTCAGTTTCCCCATAGGGATCTAGGACAGGGTTAGGTGGAAGTTCATCATTGTGAATAGCCCTGAGGCTTTAGAGGATGCAAAGAGGGAAGCTATAAAGGAGTTTGGAGCCTAAGGAATAAGATTGTATAGGAGAATAGGACCAGGAGTATGACACTAGTATATCTGTCTATCAGTACACACAAGAAAAAAAGGTAATTCACAGAATAGACAGAAAAAGGTAGAAAAGACTAAATTATAAAAGCTTCTTGAAGTTACCCGCCACCATTATCAAATGTCCTTAGAGAGCTTCCCATGATCCCTTCATGACCAGTCCCTCCAGGTCATCCTAGGAGCTGAAGAAATTTAGTTTCAGAGAGGTAGGTTAAGGGTAGAGCAATGAGCCTGGGAAAGGTGGAAAATAAACTCAATTATACCTCTAAGAGTAACACTGCAGAAGTGTTCTAAATTGTGATCACTGACCTTAAATACAAATGAAGAGAACAATGGAAGAAGGAATGAGAAAACATTTAAGACAAAATTGCCCATTTTTATTTATGCAAAATTAAAGATTTTACACTGAAATTTTATTCAACAAATGAGAAAAATAGTTGAAAAAGTCATTCCATCAAGCATTACTCATAAATTCTAATATCTGAAGTCTAAAGGAATGGGTGTATTTTTGCATGTGTGTATGTGTATATAGAGGTATCCTTTAATAGATATATAATCAAAAATATGGAAAAAAAGTTTTCAAAAATGAATCACAAATTATAAATTTTCATTTTAAAACATACTCCAAGGAGCTAAAATTAAAATAAATCTACACTGAGATGCAAAAACTGAGAAGAACTGATGCTAAAGGAATTGTAGAAATATAAGAACTCTAAAATCCTGTTGATGAAATTGTAGATTGGTCCAACTAATGTTCTAGATGTCAGATTTTAACTACACTCATAGCTTTTAATCTAGTGATATCACTACTGCATATACACTTCAAGAAAGACAAAGATAGAAGTGGAGCTTCAATAGTGAACAAATGATAAACATTAGCACCCTTTGTGATAGCAATGAGCTAGAAAAAAAGTGGATGTCTATTAGTTGACAAATAGCTACAAAAACTATAACATATGACTGTAATGGAATATTATTGTGGCAGATCTCATCTTGGTAAATGAGATTAAGAGAAACATGAGGTTTTGCATTAATGAATACATGAAAAGTGAAGCAAACAGAAAGAGGGCAACTATATACACGGCAACTATACTAATGTAAATAATTACTTTTTTAAAAAAAAAGCAGCCAAACTGAATAACTGAAATAATACTGATGGTCCTGAAGAGCCATGAAGCATGCATATGTCCACATATCAGAAAGGTGGACAACTATGAGAGCACAATGCTATGAGTTCAGTCTGAAGGAAAGGAGAAAATATTCTTTTTCTTCAAGAAAGGATTAATGCAAAGATAAGTGCTATCAATAAAAGTCAGTCTCAAATATTTATTAACCATGTGACTCTGAACAAATGACTTAAACTCTCTATGCCTCATATCCTTTATCTGTCAATTAAAATAGTAATGTTTAAACTAACTAGGATTTAACAATTACATGATTGTTGTGAGGAAAGAACTTTATATATGTTAAGGGACTGTATAAAAGTGACAATATGTTGACCTTTTTCTAAGCAATCTCTTTTCCATGAAAACCTGACACAAAAGCATAGATTATTAGGTTATAACTTTGAAAGCAGGGACCAGGATTATATATCTTTGTATCTCTCTTGGTGCCTAGCACAATGCATAGGACAAATAAGGACATAATACATGTTTGTTGAAAACTGAGTTTGGGAACAATTTGGCCATTGTAATCAATGCTTCAAGACCTAAATTTATACATCTCTTTAAAGTTTGCCAATAATTTTACAACATTATCTCATTGGCTAATGTAGGTTTACTATGTTTGAATGAGTGTGAACTATAGGGAGTTTAAAGATTTTTATGTCTGGGTAAGAATTGTACAGTTAATTTGAGTTCAGGGGATCATAAGGAAATATAGCAGTTTTCCCCAATATTCCACTCCCTATCCCAATTCATTTGAAATCGTTGGTTCCATATAGGTTAACATCCAATTTCTTCACCTGAGCTAGTTATTTCCAGTACTGACTATAAAGTCAGTCTCTGGAGTCTCAAATTACCTTAAAAGAAAAACTAAAAATTCTGAAAAACAACTAATTTTACTTCATCTTAATATTGAAAAGAATCACATGGTGCAGGTAAGAGTGATGCAAAAAAAATCAGAATTGTAAAAATTAGATAAACTGACAGGAAACTCTAAAAGGCTATGGTAATTTAAAACGTGTACAGAATCACTGCAATAAACTTAATTTCATAGAATAGGTATAAAATGGAATATCCTACTGTGGCACTGAGATAACTCTACCTTCTAAAATTCTATGTCAGTAGACCACAAGCTCCACAATGTTTTAACAAGCAGAAAAGGTTTCAATTCCTTCGAAGTACAGCTCAGGCTCCACCTCCTACATATGGCCTTTGCTTATTAACACTCATGAAATTTCTTCCTACACACATTTTATTCATTGATCTATAAACTGTGTGTCCCAAGTAGAATGTGAATTTCTTGAGGGCAGAAACTGTTTCACTTTGTTCTTTCTGTCTTCAATACTTGGTACAACGTTTCATATATCATATGTGTTTCATAAATATTTGTTGAATTCAATTGAATCAATAGCTATCCTCAGATATTTGAAAGGTTGTCACATGGAAGAAGCATTGGACTTGTTCTACTTGGTCCTAAGAGTCAGACATAGGAGCATTGATTGAAATTTAAGAAGAGAAAATTTTAGACTTGGTTGAATATGGGAAAAATTCTAACAATAAGTTTGATCCAAAGCCAGGATATACTGTACAAACCTTCTTCAATGATAGAAAAAAATCTGGCCCAACCAATCTTACCCTTATTTCATCATCACGTTGGTATGCTCTGCTATGTCAACCACCTAAAAGAGTTTATTAGAGTGAAGAAAAGAAGAAAAGTCAAAGGAAGAATTAATTGTTGGAAAAGAAAGAAGGGAAAAAGAATTAGACTATTGTCTAAAATATGCAGCTATCTATGCATAGAACAAAACATTTTTAATTATTTTTAGTTTTCAACTTCACTTCCATAAGCTTTTGAGTTTTAAATTTTCTTTCCTCCTCCCTAACTCCTCCCTAAGACAGTGTGCAATCTGATATAGGCTCTGCATATACATTCATATTAAACATATTTTCACATTAGTCATGTTGTAATGCATAATTAGAACCGATGGGAGGAACCACGAGAAAGAAGAAATAAAACAATCAAACAAAAATGGTCAGATGGTATGCTTCAATCTGCATTCAGACTCCATAGTTCTTTCTCTGGATGTGGACAGCATTTTCCATTATACATCTTTTGGAGTTGTCTTAGATCCTTGCAATGCTGAAAAGAGCCAAGTCTATGAAAGTTAGTCACCCCACAATGTGGCTATTACAGTGTACAATGTTTTCTTCATTCTGCCAACTTCACTCAGCATCAGTTCCATGTAAGTCTTTTCAGATTTTTCTGAAGTCCACCTGTTCATCATTTCTTATAGCACAATAGTATTCCACTACATTCGTATACCACAATTTGTCCAGCCATTCTCCACTTGATGGGCATCCTCTCAATTTTCAATTCTTGGCCACCACAAAAAGAGTGGCTATAAATACATTTGTATGTGTGGGCCCTTTTTCCCATTTTTCTGATTTCTTTGGGATACAGAACTAGAAGTGGTATTGCTGGATCAAAGAGGTATGCACAGTTTTATAGCCCTTTGCACATAGTTCCAAATTGCTTTCTAGAATGGTTGGATCAGTTCACAACTCCATCAACAATGCATTAGTGTTTCAATAAAATAAAACATTTTTGATAAGATATTTTCATTCTAGGGAAAAGAAATGTTATCTTCAAAGTTACAAATCTTCTAAAAGAAATACCACTGTCATCATTATTTCTATACCAGAAGCACATAATTCCAGGAGAAGATAATCTCCTTGAGAATAAAAACTTTTGTTTCTTTATATTCTCAGCCTCTAACCAATGCCTGATATATAGTAAGTTCTTGATGAATTTTTTAATTGTATTGAAAAGTAATAATAGGTAAATAAGTAATGAAAACCATATGCACTGCTATAATATATCATGTATAGCTACACTGTAATATATTGCTAGGTTGCCCTAATTCAGTTTAGAATTAGATGATTACAATTATATTTTATAGTATACTCCTCACCAATGTAATGTTCAAGGATTCATATACTCTTTCTCAGTGGTAATTCACAAAAGGCAACCAGTCTTTCATGACTGAGAAAATAAATTCATACTTGGGAAATTACTCTAAGTTCCTTCTCTCTCTCTCTCTCTCTCTCTCTCTCTCTCTCTCTCTCTCTCTCTCTCTCTCTATCTCTCTCTCTCTTTTTCTGTTTTCAATCTGAGTAATCACAAGCAATTTTTGCACTATTGTGTTCTATTTTAGATGCTGCTACCCTGAAAGTTAGTGCTCACATCCTGAGCCTCGGAGTTAAACGGAAGAAGTATTTCCTGCTCTAATGAGCATGAGGGGTCCACCTTATAAAACTTTACTTTGCCTATTCTTAGGCTTACTTCTCAACATGCCTGTGTAAGTTCAAATTCAATAGTGTAAGTTTTGCAGAATTTATTCACTGCTTTCTTTTCTATCACTTCCACCTGATGTCATGGAAAAAGTGTCAAACTTGGAATCAGAGTACCTCACAGAACCTTACTATGTGACCATGCAACAAATAATTTTGCCTATTTGAATCTCAGGTTTCTTATCTGCAAAGTGAGGATAATAATACTTGAGCTGTCTACATAATAATCATAGCTAACATTTATAGTGCTTTAAGGTTTGCATAGAGTTTTTCATAAGTTATCTCATTTGCTCCTCACAACCACCCTGAGAGGTAGGTGACATTATATCCCCATTTTATAGATGAGAAAACTGGTACAGACAGGTTAAGTGACTTGCCTAAGGACATATAACTAATATCTATCTGAGATAGTTGCTGAAGTCAGAGCTAAATGTTTTTCTGGAGTGGCCACAGTGAAGGGGGATGCTGTGAAGCTAGTGTAGGTTTTGCAATCAAAACTAACCTAGTCAACAGGTTTATATGCCTACCAAAAGGAATGAATGACAGGCTCATAACAATGTGATTGCCACAATCATCAGTGCCTATACTCCCACCAGGATGAACCCTGATAAGGTCAAAGAAAAATTTATGAAAACCTGGAGACCCTTATCATCAGTGTGCCAAAAGAAGACAAGCTTATAATTCTGGGTGAGTTTAATGCTAGAGTAAGCTCTGATTACCAGACATGGCAGGGTGTCTTTGGGAGAAATGGAGTTGGAAACAGCACTGGTCATTTACTTCTGAAGACTTGTGCATCTCATGACCTTCTCATCACCAACATTGTCTTCCATTTACCTAAATGCAATAAAACTTCAGGATGCATCCTCCCAACAAACACTGGCAATGTGAGAGTGACTAAGGCAATGGGTGGCGCAAAATGCTGGACTGATCATAGATTTATCTTCTCCAAGCTAAATATTTGCATTCAACAAAAGTGGTAGCACCAAGACAAAATGACTACAAGAAGAATTAATGTCAACAGATTAGAGTGCTTCTCTGAAGAAGGAACAGTTTGTTGATAACTTGGAAGGAAAGTTCAGCCAACAAACAGTTGGCAAGGGTGGAGCATAAAAGGAGCCCATCTGGGTCAGAAGATTCACAAACATCAAGACTGATGTGATGAAAATCATGGGGAAATTCAGAAGCTGCTGAATGAACATGAAAACTCCACAGGGTTTAACAGCAGAATAGTTCATCCAGCTCTAAGAAGGGAGCATTTAATTTCATCATAAGTAAAATACAAGTGAAGCTCAGAGAGATGTAGGATTCTTGGCTTGAGAAGAAGGCAGCTGAAATTCAGTTTTATGCTGATAACAACAATCCAAAGCACTTTTATGATGTCCTGAAGGATATTTATGGGCCAAAAACCTATGGTGCGTCTAAATACTCAGTGCTGATGAAGCCACATTGATTAGTGATAAGGAAATGATCCTAGAGGAATGAGCTGAACATTTCCATAGTGTTCTCAATGGACCATTATCAATCAATGCTGATGCCATAGACCATATACCTCAGGTTGAAGTCAATCCCTACCTAGCTGAAGTTCTAGCTGAAGAAGAGATTTTAAATGCCATTAGACTCCTTTTGTGTAGCAAAGCACCTGGTGCTGATTCTATTCTACCTAAGATATATAAAGTGGGGGGTTCATTGCTCATACAAAAACTACTGAAATTTTCTGGGTTGTATGGCAAAAGAAGATTATCCTCCAGGAATTCAAAGTTGCCTCCATCGTCCATCTCTATAAAGACAAAGGAAATAAACTATCTTCTCTCAATCGAGGGGTCTCTCTTTTAGCCATTACTGGCAAGATTCTTGCCAGAGTCCTCCTTAATAGTCTGATCCTTCACTTGAAAGATGGTCATCTACCTGAAAGCCAGTGTGGTTTTGGAAAGGGCTAAAGATCAGTCGATATGGTGTTTGCAGCCCAACGACTCTAAGAGAAAGGCCAGGAGCAGAACAGCGGTCTGTACACAATGTTTGTAGATCTGACAAAGTTCTTTGATACTGTCAATTTTGAGGGATTATGGACAATTATGTCAAAATTTGGTTGCCCAGAAAAATTCATCAGTATTTATGTCACTTTCATGATAGCATGCTTGGCCAGGTTTTGGATAATGGACTATGCTCTCATGTTTTCCCAATCACCAATGGAATGAAATAAGGCTGTGTACTTGCTCCCAAACTTTTTAGCATGATGTTTGCAATGATGTTGTCAAATGCCTTCAGTGAGGATGACCACAACATCAAGGCTAGCTACTGCACTGATGGTAAATTCTTCAACTTGAAAAAGCTACAAGCCATGACTACATAGAGGGAGAGTTGGGGCATGATTTTTGTTTGCAGATGATGGTGCACTCAGTGCAGTCTCCAAATCTGAGATGCAACAAAGTATGGAAAAATTCTCTGTTGCTCATGCTAATTTTGGACTAACAACTAATACCAAGAAAACACAGGTGCTCCATCAGCCAGCACAACAGCATCCATATGTGGAACCATTAGTTACAGCAAATGGAAAAGTTTTGAATACTGTGGACAAGTTAATTTACCTTGACAGTATACTTTTCAGGGATGCACACATTGATAATGAGGTTGACGCATGCATTGCCAGAGCTAGCTCAGTGTTTGGGAGGCTCTGAAGGAAAGTGTGGGAGAGAAAAACAATTAGACTGACTACTAAACTGAAGGCATAGAGAGCCGTTGTGTTGACTTCATTGTTGTATGCCTGTGAAATCTGGACAGTATATCAGTGCCATTCCAGGAAACTGAATTGCTTCCATTTGAAGGGATTTATCTTTTGAATTGTCTCAGGAAGATTCTGAAGATCACTTGGCAGGATATGGTTCCAGACGCTGAGGTTCTTTTTAAAACGAAATTGCCAGGCATTCAAATTCCACTGCAAAGAATGAATTTCCAATGGGCTGGCCACATTGTTTGAATGCCAAACAAATGCTTGCTAAAAAGACTATTTTATGGAGGACTCACACAGGGCTACTGCTCACATGGTGGTAAGAATAAGCAATACAAGGACATGCTCAAGGTCTCTCTTAAGAACTTTCAAATTGATTTTGTGTGACAGGGGGAGAGGCTGGCAGAGGACTTCCTAGCATGGTGTACCCTCATCAAAGAAGGTACTGTGTTCTATGAGCAAAGCAGAATTGAAGTAGCTTGAAAGAAATGTGAAATGCACAAATTTAGAAAATCTGTCCCAAATGTTCACATGGATTATTTGTGCCTGACCTGTGGTAAAGTATTCCAAGTTCACATTAGTCTGATCAGCCACAGTTGGACACACTCCAACTTGACTCTAACATAGTGATGTCATTTTGGTCCTCTTTGAGAATGAAGGACAACAATCAAATTCTGAGGCAGGATTAGAACTCATCTCTTTCTGACTCCAAGTAAAACCCTCCATCACCTACAGCACATAGATACCCCTATACACAAGGTAGTTCTGAGGAAAGTGCTTTGAAAGATTTAAAGTACTATAAAAAGGGAAATTTTGCATAGAGGAATGAGATAGTATGGACTGAGCTTAAAGAAAATCACTTTATCAGCTAGGTGAAGGATGGATTGGAATGAGGAAAGACTTGAGAGGAAGGAGGAAAGAATGAGAAAGAGAGTCCAATTAGCAAAAATTGAAATAATCCAGGTGGCCAGTGATGAGGGTCCTGGATTAAGGTAGTGGCTATGTGAGTAGAGAGAAAGGCCTGAATTCTAGAGATATGATGGAAGTAGAAGTGACAATATTTGTCAATAGAATGAATCAGCAATAAAGCATCAGAAAATTCAGTCAATATTCTTCCACCTCTATCATTTGTGATTACTGAATTTTGTATTGGCATAGGGACTATTTAACTAATTGATTTGATTTTCTTAAGAGTCAATTATCCCACAAGGTAACTCTATCTTGATTTTAAATTCCATTACTGAATGACACATTCATAGATCATAAGACTTTGAGCTCCAAGATTCTTATAGTTGTTCTTAGAGTTCAGAGAAGAATGATATCTCAACACAATTCATCACTCCATTACAAAAATTCTAAGTATGCTAATCAGTAGTTACTTAATATAATATACACAGTACTTCCATGTTTTTGAAATTCTGCTCACTAAAGAACAAAATCCTTAAATATATAATTTATAGAAAGCAGCATCGTAGTGTAGGGAAAAAAATGTTGGGTCTGGAGCCAGGGAACTTCAGTTTCAATACAGACTCTGTCCTTTACTACTTGTGGAACTCTGTACTTTCTTTCATTTTTTTTTTTTGGTTTTTTGTTTTGGTTTTGGTATTTTTAACTTTATTAATTTATTTTGACTTATCAATAATCACTTCCATATGCTTTTGAATTTAAAATTTTTCTCCCCCTTCCTCCCCATCACCCTCCCCGAGACAGTGTACAATCTGATATTGGGTTTTTATTTACATTCCTATTAAACGTATTTTCACATTAGTGGTGTTGTAAGTAAAAATTAAAAGCAATGTTAACTTCTAGGGAGCTAAAACAATGGCTTCTGAATCAGAAGAGCTGGAGTTCACATCTCAGGCCAGGAAATTCCTAGCCATGTGGCCTAGGACAAAGTCATTTTACTTTTCCAATCCTCAGTTTCTTCATATGTAAAACAGTGGTGAGGAACTGTTAAAGAAGCAGCCATAGAATACAGAGAATTTGGGTTCAGTCATTCCTCTGGCATATACTAGCTCTGTGGTCCTAGGCAAGTCACAATGTCTCAGGGCATTAGGCCACTCAGTAAGACTATAAATTATAGATGAGTTGTAAATCTATAATTTGCATCAGTAGGAGTTCCCATATTAGAAATTTCTACACAAACATGAGGGCAATCATAGCTATGTCTTCTACCTCACAAAATTGTTGTGGGAATCAAATGGAGCAATACATGTAAATTGCTTTGTAAACCTCAAAGCATTATACACACATATGAATTGTTTTATTTTATATATATATATA